TGGCCAGGTCATCTCTGTCCTACTGATGGCCATTGATGATATATGTCCTACTGATGGCCAGATCATCTCTGTCCTACTAATGGCCAGGTCATCTCTGTCCTACTGATGGCTGACGTCAGCATCATATGGGGCCGATCAGACGCCACCTCATCGATAGCAGAAAGTCCTCCTAAATGTTAGATAGGAATTTTGTTCAGGGCCTCGATTTCATCACGGGATCTCTATGACAGCCGATTAGAGCAACGAGAGAGACTAACTCGGGATTTGGCCTGAGTTTGAATCGGTCGTTTAACCATGTCGACTAAACCTTAGACACGCCATCATGAACACAGCTTTAGACGTGTAGAGCGCCAGTAAGCCTCACATCTCATCTCTGCCATTGTCCAGGACGGGCTCAGCACGCAAAGTTGGCACGCTACAGCATCTTGGCTCACCATTCAGTACATGACGCAATGTACACTGTACACACATATAACGGTGAACATTTCTGATTGTCAAATTTGCCCTCAAATTCAGACATGTTTTTAGTGAGAGGACACAATTAGAAACAAGAAACCAACATTAAATGGTTATAATTTAACAGATAATTTGTGAAAATAAAAATATTTTTATTTAAGGAAATGTACACTCAATGTAATTTGCTATAATATGTAAGCTAAATGTATTGACTGAAGTAGTGTAATAAAATTGTGTTGCCCGATGATGTGTAATCTAAATGCATAGTTTATATCATTCATATAAATACACCCGAATAAGTCTTTCACATGCAACTGGTAGCGTATCTAGAGTTGAGCACTCTCATTGATTGTAGGGATACGTCTTGACACTCTACACAGAACACTGACCGCCATATGGGTAGGATACACATAACATTGACCGCCATATGGGTAGGATACACATAACACTGACCGCCATATGGGTAGGGTACACAGAACATAAACCGCCACATGGGTAGGGTACACGGAACACTGACCGACATATGGGTAGGGTACACAGAACACTGACCGACATATGGGTAGGGTACACAGAACACTGACCGCATCTTCCAGAGGAGCACAGTTTCTAAACATTTGACCACTATTTATTTCGAGACCACATATTGTATACAATATCATTTTGTGTATAATGACAGTTTGCGTACACATTTTGTACGACGGCAATTGTGTAAAATTAATGTGTTTGTGCATGTAAGTTTTTGCACAATGTCAGTTTTTGTACATGTCAGTTTTTGTACAATGTCAGTTTTTGTACAATGTCAGTTTTTGTACAAATGTCAGTTTTTGTACATGTCAGTTTTGTACATGTCAGTTTTTGTACATGTCAGTTTTTGTACATGTCAGTTTTTGTACAATGTCAGTTTTTGTACAATGTCAGTTTTTGTACAAAGTCAGTTTTTGCACAATGTCAGTTTTCGTACAATGTAATTTTTTGTACATGTCAGTTTTTGTAGTTTTTGTACAATTACAGTTTTTGTACAATTATAGTTTTTGTACATTCACATATTTTAACAATGACAGTTTTTGTACACTGGCAGTTTTTGTACATGGACAGTTTTTGTACAGTCACTAGTGCATATACAATGACCACTACGGCCACCTCACGGGTATATGTGGGAAATGTCAACAGGGTTTCTAAAGAGAGAGAATGTCTGTTTGCCCATCGCAGCCACGTCCCGCAGGATTTGTGCACAACGGTAATGAAATCATGGACAGGCTGAATAGTTTATGAGCTAAGACCCGAAAATTTAATGGAATCTCTGGACAACCCATGGACTGTGACGTTATTTTGGTGGTTATTTCTAGACCAATGGTCCTCAAATCTTGTACCTGACCCCTTCTCTCATTAATCTAATTATTTTCCAATTCTCCAGGCTCTGATTATCCCATTGTTTTGTTTCTCTCTTCCTCTTGACTCACTTGCATCATCGATTTTTTAAATTAAAACAACTTCCAAATATCACAATTCTTGAAGGATTTTCCTACCAACAAAATGTTTTTTCCTTCTATTCTATGAGTTCGTCTTTCCATCTTGTCTGTGTTCTCTGATCCTATAAATTCTTTCAGTTTGTCTTTCAATCTTGTCTGTGTTCTCTGATCCTATAAATTCCATCAGTTCGTCTTTCAATCTTGTCTGTGTTCTCTGATCCTATAAATTCCATCAGTTCGTCTTTCCATCTTGTCAGTGTTCTCTGATCCTATAAATTCTATCAGTTCGTCTTTCCATCTTGTCTGTGTTCTCTGATCCTATAAATTCTATCAGTTTGTCTTTCCATCTTGTCTGTGTTCTCTGATCCTATAAATTCTATCAGTTTGTCTTTCAATCTTGTCTGTGTTCTCTGATCCTATAAATTCTATCAGTTCGTCTTTCAATCTTGTCTGTGTTCTCTGATCCTATTGATTCTATCAGTTCGTCTTTCCATCTTGTCTGTGTTCTCTGATCCTATTGATTCTATCAGTTCGTCTTCCCATCTTGTCTGTGTTCTCTGATCCTATAAATTCTATCAGTTCGTCTTTCCATCTTGTCTGTGTTCTCTGATCCTATTGATTCTATCAGTTCGTCTTTCCATCTTGTCTGTGTTCTCTGATCCTATTGATTCTATCAGTTCGTCTTTCCATCTTGTCTGTGTTCTCTGATCCTATTGATTCTATCAGTTCGTCTTTCCATCTTGTCTGTGTTCTCTGATCCTATAGATTCTATCAGTTCGTCTTTCCATCTTGTCTGTGTTCTCTGATCCTATTGTAAAGAGACGGATGTGTTGATCAGCTGGTTATTGAAGTTAATCGAACTGAATGATTCCATAATACGAACTGTCCAGTCATTATCTCCCCTTCCTTGTACTAACACCAAGCTCTTCAGGCTTCTGCTTGGATACTTGGTCCTGTTGAAAGGCGTTACCTCCCTTCGTTGCTTTGCATTACTCTTATTAATACATTTTTTTAAAATATAACATATCAGTATAAAAAAAAAAAAAGTAGGCTTATTATGGTTCTTTGAATTTACTCATTTATTTGGCTGAGGACTTTCTTTATTTCTTCATAATGATATATTGTAACAATGTTACATGCTGATGAATTATATGAACTGTATAACTTTGATGAAAACGTCCTTTCGCTCACTGATTTAGCAACATTAGACGCACATAAGTAGTACTGTGGCAATCTACAGCTACAACTCTTTTCACGTGGTTTGATTGGATTGTGTTACAGCTTCTAGGTTTGATAGGGTTGTGTTACAGCTTCTATGTTTGATAGGGTTGTGTTACAGCTTCTATGTTTGATAGGATTGTGTTACAGCTTCTATGTTTGATAGGGTTGTGTTACAGCTTCTATGTTTGATAGAGTTGTGTTACAGCTTCTATGTTTGATAGCGTTGTGTTACAGATTCTATGTTTGATAGGGTTGTGTTACAGCTTCTCTGTTTGATAGAGTTGTGTTACAGCTTCTATGTTTGATAGCGTTGTGTTACAGATTCTATGTTTGATAGGGTTGTGTTACAGCTTCTCTGTTTGATAATGTTTTGTCATAGTTTATCTTTCTGACATGTATGACTGTCTAGCACTATTCAGGTATGGTGTTTCTGTCTGACACGTGTGTCATACTTTGTCTGTCTTACATTCTGACGTTGTTTTCTATTGTATTATATTTTTTTTGTAAATGCAGACAGATCTTGATTTACCTTATACATTCCTTCACGAGTAAAAACCATTCAATGACAGAATATTGCAAGCATTTGTTGTTCAGGACACAAATCGATCTGTTTAAGTTAATGTGTCTTCTCCTTTACACCGGGGTCGTATTTTAACAAATGAGGTGTCCTCGCCAAAGCAGGGGTTATCTCCAGGTCACCGCATCATATCTCCTCAACCCTTCCCTTTGTCATTTCGTCTCACCTACCCGTCCCGCAATTCTGTGTCAGGTTGAATTGCACCATGTACGTCAATAACGGGGAGTGGTATGGGGCGTCCCTGCGTAAGCCAATGGACTGAGATCTTCTGGCCAATCCTAATGATGCACAGACTCCGCTGGACAGAAATGAAATGTGTAAATAGTTACATGGATGCTTTTACAGACCCAAGCCCAGGAACCAAAATGGCAACCTCCTGGAAGTGGACGATTTGTTGAAATTGTAATGGCATGTGGTGTTATAGGGGATCTTGTATGTAAGCTTGGGGCGGGGGTGGAGGGCGTAACTACTAATGGACAATTTTTTTTTTCCTTGCGCCTTTAAAGTTACGTTATTAAGTTTAGTGTGAAAAGGAGTTCAAGATTCAATATTCATTCTCAATATGTCTGTGTTTTAAATGGTGAATTCATTTGATTTGATTGAACACCAACACATCGTTTTATTAATGAAAATTTTACATAATTCATAACTACTTTGTGCTGAGGCTAGAGCCTAATTCTTATCATTATTATATTTAGAATTGCACCTGTCCTACATCAGTTATACCCATAACGTCACCATCGTACAGAAGGCCTTAACAACTATGATAGTTCTTATCAATCGCCCTACTTTGTTTACTGTTATTTACGAACAAGACTCATTTGTCTAGCTAGATAATTAGCTTCTGGTTAATCACCCTTGCCTAACACTTAGAGCACACAGGCTGCATAGCAACTATTTAATTAACAGCAGTTGACATTCAGACCTTGACTTTTTTCTTTTCTTTTTTTTAAATGGTGTGCCGATGAGTTTTGTTTCGTTCATAATCTCCAAGTTATTATAAATTTTATTTTCATAAGGAAGGTTGAAAAATGTGGAGTTTTATTAGTGCTGATAGTAATTTTTACAAATTGATACAATAAACCATGGAATATTCGAAAGTTTAGTCTTTAGCGCATGTATAAATAATAATAATTATATATGTTCGTGATTACTATGTTGAAAACATAAAATATAAATCAACTCCTCTGAAAAATACTCTGTCATGGATCTCACCATGCCCGTAGCCGCAGGATATCCTCGTACCGCAAAAATTAATAGAAGTCGTGGAAGGCTAGTTTCAGGCACTGCTGGCTTGATGCAAATACTTCCTTCGGAAGTTCTGGATGAACTAACTCAGGTTGTTTTTTTTTATTTTGTAATTAATTGAAATAATAGAAAGGGCTTATAACGAAAATGGGTAAATTTTAAGGACGATTGCCACTATTTTATCGAATTTCAGGAATGTATCCATAAATCGATCCCTATGCTTAGCCTGTACCCTAAATCGATCCCTCAACCTAACCTAAACCCTAATTCACTGCAACTATAAACTATAATAAACACCGTGGCAGCCGTCCTTAATATTAGCCCTCCAAACTCAAAAAAATACAGACCAAATCCATAAACTCATAAACAAAGGGCAAAGATAGGCAAAAGTTAACAATTAGAATTAGCATATAAATTATTATAAATAAATAATCTTAAGCTATATATTGACATTGCCTAGCATAGATTAGCATATTACTAGATATCAGGCAAGCCATTGTAGGCCTTTTAAAAATAATATTAATTTTTTTAGACTGACTTTATGACTTTTGTTGTTTTAATATAGAATATAATATATTATATAGGCCATAACAGTAATAGGTATAGGTTTTTTATATTATTATTATTAGTTAATAACTGACTGATATTTTAAATTCAATTCATCATACTTAGCCTGGGGCCTAATTAATAAATTATGCCTAAGTAAAATAGAATGCACAATAATTATATTTTTAATCTAACTGAAAATTTTTAATTGATTATTTTTAAAAATAAGAGTTATTTTTTATTTTAACAATAAACATCAGCCTCCTGATTCAATGCTTAAAATAGCCTCATTACAGTACAGCAATATGGTTTTCAACAAATTAAATTATTTCAGACCCTCGCTAATGCCACAATGCACATAGAAGGAATGAGTCGACAGGTATCCTAGCTATTGGAAATTTAAAATGTTTACAATTACAATCTTTTGTTGATTTTTAAATAATTTTTCCATTGATTTTAATTACTTAAATAAGTACAAGAGTCAAAGTCAAAGACTGTCTTTTTTTGTGTTGGCCTCTGATTTTGGTATTGCAACTTTGCATTAATAGTTGTTTCCGTCAATCATTTGAATATGCCTATATTTTTATGATTTAATATTTTGAATAATGATTATTGATTGTGGAATATCTTTTTTCTTTAAAATGGTATAATACACTGGTGGGCAAACATGCGGCCTAGCAACTGATGTTATGCGGCCCCCGAGGGCATTTAGGAATAAAAAAAAATTTCTTGGTTTTTAAGTTATCTTGTTGTATTTCATGTACCCTTATGATGGGTTTAACATTTTTATAAAATTTCTTTCCAATTTTCTATTTTTGTGAACAGTCCTTGACCTTGGTAATGTAATACTAAAATGGCATAATTTGTATTCGGCCCTTCAATAGCTTTTCATTTGTCAATGTGGCCCTACGCATACAAAGTTTGCCCACCCCAGGTATAATACATTCCGTTTTAGACTCTTCAGTTGTTTTTAAAAAAATATATTTATAGTCCCTATACCAAATTATATATTACTATTGTGTTAAGACTTTATAACTGTATTTGTGTTTTTCATGAAAGAAATTTTATTTCAAAAAGTTTGGAACCTTACAAAATTTATAAATCATCTGGGTTTTTTCATTGGCATGTAATCAACTCTATTGGAAAGATTATCGATTAGTTACTGTTGGAAAGTGTTTCTGTTATTTTGATGACATTTTTTTATCCTCACTATGTTACAACCAGAAACATTATTTTACAAACAAAAAATATTACCTGGTAAACAAAGATATTTATGCTTAATTTGAATCATAAAACAGTTATGTGAATTGCACATTTTCTTTATCTTTTTCAGCCTCTGAAGAGGCAAAGGAGCAACCGCTCAGCTCGCAGCACAACATCCTCAGCCAGAAGAAGACAGCATGAGGATGGATGTGTTACTTGTTTAAGGGGAACTCTGCACTGCTATAATGTATTTATATTGGTAAGTTTGGTATAATTTTAATTTTAACTTAAATAATCAACAGATATTTCACTCAATTTTATATCAAGCTTCATTTAAATAATTTCACATTACTTATAATGTTTATGAATTTAAAAAAAGTAGCCTATGTATTTTAATTAAAATAACAACCTTGTGTTTTCTTCTGTTCTTAATTTTTTTTTACAAATGCCTAAGCAAATAAATTAAAATATCAGAAAAATAACATTCATTTTCAAGTAAATTTTTTTGTCTGTTCAGATAGTTGGATGTGCAGCATTAGGGATTGGAATCTGGCTGCTTGTCACAGACTTTGGGGCAAGGAAAGTCACCCCCATTGTAGGCAACCAGTTGTATGAAGTCACTACATACTTATTGATAGCAGGTGGCGGTGCTGTAGCACTTCTTGCTTTCTGTGGTTGCTGTGGTACTATACGTGAAGACAAATGTGTGCTCTCCTTTGTAAGTATTTGATGTTTAGTTTTTCATGTCTTATAATTTTTACAAAATAAACTCGAATATTCAGTTTTTTACAAGTTAAATTTCATATCAAAGCTAAAAGTAAGACTTTTTTTTTTTTTGGGTGGGGGGGGATCATTTTTCAAACTCAGCATTGCATATTTTAGAGTTGCCTAAATGATTGAGAGCATATGTGTTCCTGTTTTAAATTTGTACATTATTTTCTCTCTACAGTATGGAACAACATTAGCCATTGTTCTCATTGTATTAGGAGCAGCCTGTGGATTGGCCTTTTTTTTTAGAAGTGAGGTAAGCACCATCCGCACATTAGGGGTTCATAAAAGTAAAAAAAATTGTATTTTTTTTTTAAATTATGAATTCCTAACTTGAATATAAAAGTTTGTTTAGGTGTTAATTATCATTTATAAAAATAGACAAGCCTACGATTGGCTAAAAGTTTCACAAGGTATCTTTGGGTTTTAATAAATTTGTTAATTAAGTTTTAAGTTATGGTGAAAATTTTCTGTCACAGGAGTTGCCCTACATTATTTTTTTTATTTAAAACAATGGAAGAAGATCAATGGATGATATTGTCTAGAACTTGCTTTAAGTAATTTCTTACAAACTTGAGCATGCAGACATTTTCATGGTGTTTTATTGTGATGACAGAGTGCTATTTGCAAATCTACATTGAAATAAAAGAGCAGAGTGCTTTTTGCTAATCTACATGGAAGTAAAAGAAAATCTGAAGATTAACAAATTTAGCAATTAAATTTGTATGTTTTTATTAAAATACAGAGATTTGCACATCTCCAACTCACATGGAAGTAGTGCATTTCAGTTGTTGGAAATGGTTTTCTCTGTGGAGGGAAAAAGTATTCATATTAGAGAATTATTTGTGCTGCCTTTCTCCCAATCTTACACCTTCTGATGCCGACTTGTGGTTATTGTTAAAGGAGGGTGTGTTCTACTGCGAAGATCCGCCAAGCACTGACAAAAATATATTTCCTACCTTGGAGAGTAAATGTCCCCAATTAATTTTTAATCTGCCCTCCTGCTAAGGTTCACTCAATATGGGAAACACTGCATTACCCATATATGGTAAATCAACGTACATATATGTCAGTTTCTGTCCTTTAAGCACTGTATTTTTTTTCAGCCCGCTATATATGTTAATTATTTATATTCTTTAATTTTAGCTGGCCACAAAAATTCAAGGGCGAATGCGAGATACTTTATCTATTAACTATGGTTTTGAGGTTCGAACAAATGCAGAAAACAAAAGGATAACAGATGCCTGGGATGCTATGCAACGTCAGGTTAGTTTTGTTTCTTCTCATTTAAAAAAAAATGTTATGTTATTATGCAAAATTTGTATTGACACAGCGCTGAAATGATAAAAGTTGTCCAGTTAGTCCCAGGATAATTTGTTTATGAGATTGTTAAAACAAAAATGCTATTGAGTATGAACAAAGTTAATAATGAGAATGGTAACAACCAAAAAAGACATTATGTACTTTGTCTTCTGATGGTTTGATACTTGATGTGTTTTCATCCCATCTCCTGATTTAAAGCTATTTCTTATGACTTAAATTTCACAGCTTCAATGTTGTGGTGTAGTGGGCAATGTGACATCATTTGACTCATGGATGTACTACACATCAAAGACTAAATGGTCAGGTGTCAAAAGTAAGTAGCAATATTCAATTACTCGTTTAAGTATAGGAATAAAGCTTGATGGATCAAATACTGGTAAGATTAGTGGTCAGTATAAAAAGTGAATAGACTTTCTCCTGAAAATTCTTCTGCGTTATAGCTTGGCAAATGCAGTTATGGTTTATTGCTTACTTATTTTCTTCCCAAACTTTGCAGAAGGTCAAAATCAACGGGTACCAGAAAGCTGCTGTGCACCAGGTGACTTCAAAGTGTGCACAGGTGAACAAGAATTTAATGGACCACCTAGGTTTTTCCAAGGCCACCGGGATGAATTAAGACAAACAAATCCCTTCTTATATACCACAGTAAGTGTGCATGATGAAAATATTGGTTTAGTAAGTGTGCATGAAGGGAATAGTGGTTTAGTAAGTGTGCATGATGGGAATAGTGGTGTATTAAGTGTGCATGATGGGAATAATGGTTTATTAAGTGTGCATGATGGGAATAGTGGTAACTGTGCATGATGGGAATAGCAGTTTAACAAGTGTGCATGATGGGAATAGTGGTTTAGTAAGTGTGCATGATGGGAATAGTGGTTTAATAAGTGTGGATGATGGGAATAATGGTTTAGTAAGTGTGCATGATGGGAATAGTGGTTTATTAAGTGTGCATGATGGGAATAGTGGTAAGTGTGCATGATGGGAATAGTAGTTTAACAAGTGTGCATGATGGGAATAGTGGTTTAGTAAGTGTGCATGATGGGAATAGTGGTTTAATAAGTGTTGATGATGGGAATAGTGGTTTATTAAGTGTGCATGATGGGAATAGTGGTTTAATAAGTGTTGATGATGGGAATAGTGGTTTATTAAGTGTGCATGATGGGAATAGTGGTTTAATAAGTGTGCATGATGGGAATAGTGGTTTAATAAGTGTGCATGATGGGAATAGTGGTTTATTAAGTGTGCATGATGGGAATAGTGGTTTAATAAGTGTGCATGATGGGAATAGTAGATTAACAAGTGTGCATGATGGGAATAGTGGTTTAATAAGTGTGCATGATGGGAATAGTGGTTTATTAAGTGTGCATGATGGGAATAGTGGTTTAATAAGTGTGCATGATGGGAATAGTGGTTTAGTAAGTGTGCATGATGGGAATAGTGGTACGTGTGCATGATGGGAATAGTGGTTTAGTAAGTGTGCATGATGAAAATATTGGTTTAGTTCAGTCAGTGTTTTAACACCGTATGTTTGCATGATGAGAATAGTGGTTTAGTTCTGTCTGTGTTCGCTGGAGGTCAGAAACCTAATGTTAAATTCAGTTTGAGGGTGTAAGTAAGAAGTGAAAGGTCCTAAGCATGGGGGAGGAAATATAATACAATTGTATAGCCGTTGTTTTAAATATATGCTTTTTGACTTTGCCATAAAGTTGTTACCGATGCTTCCTATTTTTAAATATTTCATTTTTTGCAAGGATATTCATAATATATCAAATGCCATATCTGCGAGGCTTTAGTTCTAAGATATTAATCTAAAATAGTATAAAGTCAATGGGGGTATAGAGCAATTTACCATCTGTCCAATTATTAAGATGCTCTAGTTTTGAAATAGATAGATTTTTAGACTGTAAGCAAAAAAAAAGGAGACATGTTGATTCTGTCTGGAGTAAACTATGAAAGAGATTCTTTTATGTGGCGGTTGTGTGTGTGTGTATGTGTGCATGCAAGTGTAATCTTTCTAAGCAGTGAGAAATGATATAGTGAATTATAATTTTGTTCAATTTGTCTTGCTGTCAGATTGCTTTTCACTTTTTCCTTCCTTACTTATATGTGTTAGACACTTTTTGCAAAGGAGTTCCCGTCCACTCCCTATTGAAAGGGAAAAATGAGTAATTGATCTGCATTAATTCATGAGATTTTTTTTATTATATTCAAAACAATTGTTGATCAGCAGATGAACAATGTTATGACTTAATGTCAAATTAGAAACTTTGCCCTACAGTTAAAACAATGAAAAGCTGCATCTCTCCTATTCATGATCAAATGCTGTGTCCTAAAAAGAATTTCATTTTCATCTATATTCTCAAACACAGTCCCTGGTTGAGGAATACAAAAAGGAATTATTCATAAAACCTGACATTTGACGTTTCAGTAAATATCATGATGGGAAAAATTGATATGGAAAAATTAAACTTCAAAAGAAGTTGGCACTACTAAACATGATATTGGAAGTGTTTCTGCTAGTGGCAATATTTTCTCAAGATCCTTCTGACAATGACACAGGGTTGATCTACACAAAAACTTCCGTTATAAGTTATTTGGAGTTATCGTTAAAAAAACAACAACAACAAAATCAGCTTTGTGGGCTGTAGGGATTTTTTTATTGCAACATATTCCTATTTAAATGTATTTTATTTTGTTGGAAGATCTGATGTGAGATTTACGTGTTTAAGAACTGATGTGAGATCTACGTGTTTAAGAACTGATGTGAGATATACGTGTTTAAGAACTGATGTGAGATCTACGTATTTAAGAACTGATGTGAGATCTATGTGTTTAAGAACTGATGTGAGATCTACTTGTTAAAGAACTGATATGAGATCTACTTGTTTAAGAACTGATGTGAGATCTACATGTTTATGAAATCATGTTAGATCTACCTGTTTAAGAACTGATGTGAGATATACACGAAAAGCAAACTTGATATTTTGATGCTAGCTTTATTATATTTCTTTCAGGGCTGCTATGATGCATTGATAGATTATCTCCAGACATATTCTGCAGTGGTTGGGGCTGTAGCTGCCATTGTGCCTCTATTTTTGGTAAGCCCAATTGTGTTGCTTTACTTTGTTCCTTTAAATGAAGTTGGGTTTTTTGTCTGTCTTTTTTTTAAATTAATGTCTGTGAATATTTTGTTTAACAGGCTGAATATGAAGAGACATGTTTTGGAACTCTTCATTATAACACACCTTGTGCTCATAGCTTCATATTTTAATGAGCATGGTTGTTAAACTTTTTACTGACTTGGTATCCAATGTATCTCCATGTGATTGAACCATTGTTCAACCTGGCATAAGAGATTATTGGCAGTAATTTAACCCATTACATTGCATTAAGAACTTCATCACAATGAGCCTGCTTTTAAAAGTAGTAGGGTGAAAAGCTCTGTGCTTTCATTATGCTCATTTAAACTAACTTTAATATGAGCAATTATAAAATGTGGATTCAAAGAATCAAAGTAAACTTTTAATGTATTTTATATGCAAACTTGCAGTGCAGTACCTTGAAATAGTTTTGGAACCACTGATTTAGTGTAAATTTTTACCCAATACTTACCCTATTTTCCTTGAACCCTTTTGGAAAATTTTAATGAAATAAATAATAAATTACGAAATCTTGATAATAAGAAACATTTTCTTCATGCATTTTACAAGGTTGGTCAAATTAATCAGAGTTGGTCTATAGAGCTCATTATTATTAACATGCTTTCTCATTTGTCTTAAGGGGGGGGGGGAGAATCTGTCCATTATTTACTTACATGTGTTTGGGTCAGATACAATTGATCCATAAGGAATATCTCTGCTTTGATTCATTGCTTTCATCAAATGTTTTGAAGAGATGAAGCAAGTTTGATGCTTTTTATTCCAATGTACAAAAAAATGAATTAAATTAATTGGTTTTGATGTGCACATTACTTAAATGTATTTTCTTCCACACAATTAGAAATTTATTTAGTTTGATGTTAAAGACCACCCTCAGAAATCCACTAAAATCTTGATTGTTACTTGTCATCAATTAAAGTTACAAAATGAAATCCTTACTAGAATGTCAAACAAACAAACAAACCTGTACCGTTAGATGATTAATTTGATGGAGAATTTCTAATAAAAGCACATTTTGTTCACCATACTGCGGAGGTATAACCTAATCTAAAATTTGAATTATTTGTTCTTTTCTTCCCCAGGTGTTTGGCATTGTGATATCATTTTGTCTGTGTTCCAGAGTTTCAGGCTATTCCCATGATGATGAAGTGGACTTATAGCCCTGTGTGTTATCTGCTGATGTTAGAAGATGAGATTGTAAATACCTGGAGTCTTGTGTCACACACAAGTTTGGCTGTATATACCTGGAGTCTTGTGTCACACACAAGCTTATAAATATTCTACCTACAGCCCACACTTGATGCAGCTGTACTGACTTTTGATCCATCCATCATGACTGAATAATGAGGCACCGTCCAGGCTTTCAAAGTGTGCAATTGAAAGCTCTGGCATCTTAAAGAAAAAATATCACAACCATTTAAAGTATTGGAGACTACCTTCTTACCACTTATAAGAAAAATGGCCAGTGATAATTCAAGATGTTCAGTTTTCATGGTTTGCCTACACTAAATGAGGTTATATTTCTTGCTGGCCTTCCAAGACCTCGCCACTGATTACATGCAAATGGAGAAGTTTATTTTGGCAGGAGGCAGACTTGAGCTCTACAGTCAATTTTGGGATATCTTTGATGAGAGCTCTTGATGGCTGCTAGGGATTCTTGTGTAATGTTTAACCAGTGAAGGTTATGTGATTTGCCTACTATTGCCTCTCTTAACCATACATTATCACATCCCATACGTTATGCCTGGTAGGTACCATACCTCTAACAGCCATTATAATTTATATTCAACATGATGTTTATGGTTTTAGTTTTTCTAGTTTTCAAATTCTAAGACAAAGTCAAATAATCTTAGCCCTATTGTATAATAAGATTGCGGCCAACATCAAGCAAAAACATTTTAAAGTTTCTGATGACATATCTGTTTTTATACATGTTAGTCACTTTCTCCCTTTAACTGTGTAGTCATATCATGTATTAAGGGTCACATTTTTTCTGATTAAACAAAGAAGCATTAGTGATTTCATATGATTGTGACTTTAAGACCCTAGTCTTATGACCCCAAACTATTTTATATGTTGTGACATCAGCCCTAATCTAGTTGGAACCCTTGGTCACTAGACCTAATTAATTTGGAACATTGGGTTTCTAATCCCATTCTAATATGGACTGTTAAATCATATCTAGCCATTTTTGGATAGCTCTCATCTGTGGTGAATACTCCTGTTGTCATAGCAGACCTAACACAGGTGACATTTACAATTTGCACTGCCGATACACTTGGTTCATTTTCCCTAACTTGAGCCATATTTTCCCTAAGTTGAGCCATATTTTCCCCTAGCAACACATCAAATAATTTCCTACATTCCAAATGTTTCACAGACTTTTTCCCAACTCACCTTCCAACTAAACTTTGAACTGAGTTTTTTTCTACTAAAAAAATGTCCATGACCAGCTCTTTATTATAAGATAACAGTTTCAGTCTTCAAGTTTTGCTAATGAGTCATGTGATGCTAAAGTTTCAAGCATGATAACTGGGTACTTTTGCTCTTCTAGAAGATGTAGAATCTTTTCAAAGAATTTGAGTTTGTAACTGTAGGGTGTTGCCATTCGTTTCAGAATATTTTATTTAAATATCAATGAAGACACTGAACTCATTAGACTTTATTAGAAGCTGAATAAATTGGTTGCATAGATCAAAAGGTTTTCTTTTTTTTTTAAAAAATGGGATTTATAATGTAAGGTGACTTAATTTTAAAAAGAAATTCTAAACATTTTCTATGACATTCACTAAGGTTACCAAATAATAAAACATCTGCCTGATACAAAATATATTACTGTATAGTACCTGGTACTCAACAACATTAAAGAACATAGTTACAGTGTAGCATGTGCTACAGAACATTGTTACGGTATGGTGGAGCATATGCTACAGGATAATTTTACAGTTCGGTGGAGCATATGCTACAGATAAATGTTACAGTCTAGAACCTGCTGTAGAAAATGTTGCATTGCAGTTCCTGGTAGAGTACATGGTTACAGTATAGCTTCTGACTGTGTTTCCATAAATCTACAAAGGTTTCTCTTAAAATAAGATGAGATTTAAATGGCATTAGTCATGAACTCTAATTGGATTAAAACTGTTAAGCAATCCCTGAAAATTGTTTAGTTACTTAAGTGAACCATGTGGTGTTCATAGTGCTCCTCAGATGTGCTAGTATTGCATAGTGGGGCAGTATGTTTATTAAAAAACAATCCCTTTGACATGCACCACCTCTTCCCTTATGTGTGACATACACACTCAAAATCCTGTCCCAAAAATAGAATTAAGTTGATATTTATTGATATATCAATGGTGAAGAACACTATTCATTATAATTTGAATGTAATTCGTTACTTAAATTTCAAAGCACACAAACAAAAGTTGAACTGTTATTTTAATATAGATGTCCATTGTTATGATTTGTTAAATTGCTAACATTTGATTGTAAATCTATTTGTTATTATAAAAGTTGTTCAATGAGTAATTATTTGCAGAGTCCTATAACCTTTCATCATCCAGTGATTTGCCATGTCCTATGATATGTAGCTCTGTATACTTATGTACTTCTGATGTTGTCATGTTATATATAACAATTCCATGTATATTTCAGGTATGCCAACACATGTTAATTGCATGTCCAAATTTGACTCACAAACACCGCATATATTCAGTCAGCACCATTTTTTTCATTAAATTAAACGAGAGCCAGTGAGCCAGCAAATATTCATTTGTGAAAGGGATGAGAGAGAGAGACAAAGTCTAACAATTCATTTCTCATGTGTCTATCTGGCTATTTAACAATGTGAATAAGTTTATAAGATGAGCAATCTATGTACAAGAAGTTCAGAATCGGCAGCTTCTTGGCTTAAGGAGAATTTCATCAGCTCTTTGATTCTGGTTATGGGTATTGGGGTGAAGGATTTACTAACAGATCATGTTCATGTCATTTGCCAAAATGTAAACGTTGGTAGAATATATTGAAAATCTAACACATTACTTAATATTTGGATTTGTCCTATCCTGTAACACTTTGTTTATTAACATTACCATAGCTGGTAGAAATAGGGCATCAATTAAAATTTTTTTTTTTTTTTTTTTTTTTTAAATTAAAAAGTTCAAATTCATTTTTTTTACTCGGTAGTGAAAATGGGTTTTTTTTTTTTTTTTTTTTTTTTTAAATTAAAAAGTTCAAATTCATTTTTATGACTCGGTAGTGAAAATGGGTTTTGTTTGCTTTTTGTCTTTATTCTGAAGACTTAAGAGAAGAGCATGTTTGAATGTAGTAGGAGAAATGGTATTTGCTATTTAGTCCAAAGTGTGTTGTGTTCTTAAAATGTCAAAAATTGAACTTTTTATTGAAGCTTGAGATGCATGGGGCATTAGAAATGTTGTACTTAGACCCACAGCCATGCACAGTTAGAATAATGATAATTACAGTACTTGGCATTACATTTGATTATGTTATTTAGTTCCTTTAATGTTATGCTTTGTTGGCAAAGAGCTTTGGTGGAATTTGTGTTGCTTTCATGAAAAAAAAGCAAAGCAAAGAAATGAACTAGGCATCCAGGTGCTTATTAGCCTGTTTTTTGTTTTGCATTTATTTGAAATTTTTTAAAATGATTAGAATTGACAGGATTTATTTCTACAAATCTATTGTCAATATTACTTACATAACATGAGCAGCATTGAAACTGTTAAGAGTAGGCCAGGTCTTGTATTGCTTAAGTCAGAATGTTCAGTATTCACACATCTTTATTTGACCATTCAAATGACATTTATTAGCCCTTGACCTCTCCCTTCAGGCGCATTAACCCCTGACATTCTTGTGTTTTATTAGAACTAAATCTAGCAGAAATGTCTGGAGCTACAATCATTAGTTAGGATAGCTTACTGAACTGAATTCATTGAGATACAATCATTAGTTAGGAGATAGCTTACTGAACTGAATTCATGAGATACAATCATTAGTTAGGATAGCTTAATGAACTGAATTCATGAGATACAATCATTAGTTAGGATAGCTTACTGAACTGAATTCATTGAGATACAATCATTAGTTAGGATAGCTTACTGAACTGAATTCATGAGATACAATCATTAGTTAGGATAGCTTACTGAACTGAATTCATTGAGATGCAATCATTAGTTTGGATAGCTTACTGAACTGAATTTATTGAGATACAACCATTAGTTAGGATAGCTTACTGAACTGAATTCATTGAGATACAATCATTAGTTAGGATAGCTTACTGAACTGAATTCATGAGATACAATCATTAGTTAGGATAGCTTACTGAACTGAATTCATGAGATACAATCATTAGTTAGGATAGCTTACTGAACTGAATTCATTGAGAATGAGAACAATTTTTGGTGGATGTGATATCCTAGCTAATTGGATCTACTGTCAAACAATATATTCACAAACTCTACATTTGCAGTATATTGTTCTAGTATTTCTCTATTAGGATATATATAATAACTCTCGTACTTCATACAGGCCATTAGTATATGTTTTTAAAAATCTGATTTTAAAATTTTTAGATTGTTGATCTTGAAAGACAATCTTTGTTAAACTTGTTCAAAATAACTGAAATGTCAAAGCCTAAATTCTCTTACAAGAAATGTGGTCAAAGAAGAGCCAGTGTAAAGAGCCATTCGGTTTTTTTTTAAGGATGCTTTGTGCTGTGCATTTGCTCATTTGACAGCTTAAAGAAAGTTAACTTGCATGGTTAAAAAAAGAAAGACTATGGATGAAATATTGTAATGTCAGGCAGAAATTTGAGACAGCCTAGCTCCGCTACATACAAATATTTGTCAGCTTAGCTCTAACAAAATGGAAAAGGGAGGTGGTATGGTTAAGGAAGGGAGGTGGGATTGTTGAGGGGGTGTGTGCTAAGTGTTTTAAGAAATTTGTTTATTAACCAGGCAATAGAAATACATGTACCAGAAACATGGCTGTACACGTGGGGTAAAATGGCTGTAGAAGATTGGGGCAACATAGCTGTGTGAGTGGGGCAACATAGCAGTCGAAGAGTGCACCAATATAGAAGTCGAAGAGTGGGGCAACATCTTTAAAAGAGAGAGGCAACATAGCTGTAGAAGAGTGGGGGCAATATAGCTGATAAAATATTCAGGCAACATAGCTTCTAGAAGAGAGAAGGGCCACATTTCTTGTAGAAGAGTGGGGCAGCATAGCTGGTAGAAATAGGGCATCAATTAAAATTTTTTTTTTTTTTTTTTAAATTAAGAAGTTCAAATTCATTTTTATAAATTTTTAAGCTTTGGGCATTAAACATGTTACCACTCCAGGTCTGGGCATAAAGACCCAGCTCCGAGCTCTGCTCCAAATCCCTGATGTCAGGCCAACAAGACATCCAATTAGGCAAGATTTTTTTGGGCGACCCACACAAAAAATATAGGACAGCTGATGAGATGGAAGGCATGAAAGGAAGAAATATGATCAAATAAGTGAGGATAAAAACTGTTTGGATATTTTATAAACCCTTGAAATCAATGAATCTGGGGGAGCTTATTACCATTTCTTGCTGATGCAAGGATATTTTTATTTTGGCAACATAGGTAGTGGAGTTTATAAAGTTTTATTATGCACCATCCAATTATTCTAATACAATGTACATGTTATGTTTGTCTCATTTAAATTGCCCTTGATATCTGTCTCTGTCTTTTAGAACTGTGTAGCTGACTTAATGCTTTCAACGTGTCCTCTGTAGCTTAAATTTTTAAACTTAATTTCAGGGCAAAAGAGTGAGTGGTGTCTTGACTGGATGCTGTGATGTGTAAGTCCCTGGCCACATTTTGCTGTGTTTATTCCATGTCATCACTGTCTAACTCTACTGCAGCAATCATCAAATACCCAATGTAGTTTGTCACCACCTTCTCCACCTGTTGGTTAAAAAAACTGACTTTTTAAGTAGCCATGCACATCAAGTGGCAACACCTTCTCCCATTTGAATGCCTTCAGCAATATTCTGATTCCAATTTTTGTCCGTGTTGTATAGAAGTGAAATCAAATTTTATCTTTCATAAATCTAATTTTTAAGACATTTTAGAATTGTGGAAAAATGATTACTTTGAAATCAAAACTACATATTAAAAGTAATTCATTGGTGCAATTGGGGAAACTGTCATGAAGTAAATAGGTGTTTTATATCAATGTCTGTAACACAGATTTAGGATTGAGTTCATATACATGGGATTATTCCCTTTGTCAAAATTACTAAGTCAATAGAGTTATCTACAGAGTCATTGGCCTATATTGCAGAGTTATTGGCCTTGTCATCTATTTATAGGACATGTTCATGGTTTTTTAATTGGATAGCTAAATATTATTGTTTGAGTTGTACAAAAGATCAAGTATTTTAAAATTCAAAGCTAGACAGGTAAACAAGAAAAATGTGTAGGCCTACCTACATTTGTTAAATGCAGGCTGAAAAATGTATTAATGTAAAAAATATATCTTCAACTTTGTTTAAATTGCCCATTTTGAAGTATGCATGTAGAGAAGAATTCCATGTTAAAGTTTAGGAGGAAAAGGATAACAAATTATTGTGTAGTCTTGATTATTAATGTGTGATCAGTGAATGAATTATTGCATTACTCTCTTGGCTCTTTTGTTCCAATTATTTAATGACAGATTTGAGACATTGATATGAAGTTGATTGATGCAAAAAAAAAATATTTTGTTTATTTTGCAATTTTCTTGTGTATATTTATGGTGAACATTGATTTAGTTGTGTTACTCTTGATTTTGTTTGTTCTAGTTTGTAAATATTTATTGATATGTTGATTGATGGGGTTGATTTTGATTCTTCTAAAGTTACCTGTGAACATGGTTAAATGGTTGAAAGAATAAATATTTTGTTATCAATCAATCTCTGGCTGCCTTCTCATTTTCTCATTGTTTATTTACATTCAACACATTTTTAAATTTTTTTTTAAAAATAGCATTTTTTATTTTGTAAGCATGGGTGCAGGTTGTATTGACAGGTGTATAATTATTTTTTATTTATTTTGAAATTAACCATCAGTTCATTATTTCTTCTAAAACCCCATTTTGTGGGAACTGTTTAAACAGTATTTGAAACATTATTTCTTCATTGGAAATTCATGATCAGAGAATATAATGAAAGTAATAAGTCACAGTTATGATGGCAACTCTGAAAACTCCCCAGGGCAATGGCGGCCTCAACCGATGCAGTCTTATGGAGGTCATGCCAACATAACATTTCTATGTCCAAGACCAGACTTCTAGGGCACATAACATTTCTATGTCCAAGACCAGACTTCTAGGTCACATAAAATTTCTGTGTCCAAGACCAGACTTCTAGATAACATAACATTTCTGTGTCCAAGAACAGACTTCTAGATAAAATAAAATTTCTGTGTCCAAGACCAGACTTCTAGGTCACATACCATTTCTGTGTCCAAGACCAGACTTTTAGGTCATATAACATTTATGTGTCCAAGATCAGACTTCTAGGTCATATACCATTTCTGTGTCCAAGACCAGACTTTTAGGTCATATAACATTTCTGTGTCCAAGACCAGACTTCTACATCATATACCATTTCTGTGTCCAAGACCAGACTTTTAGGTCATATAACATTTCTGTGTCCAAGACCAGACTTCTAGGTCACATACCATTTCTGTGTCCAAGACCAGACTTTTAGGTCATATAACATTTCTGTGTCCAAGACCAGACTTCTAGATAACATAACATTTCTGTGTCCAAGATCAGACTTCTAAATCCTATTACAGATTTTTTGCGTGGCCGCATTAAGACTACAATTTGGATGAGGCTGGCATGCTACGCTCTGTGAATGATGCTTGAAGGATGAGCCTCTTGGCCTGGGTGCTAACAGGTTGGCTTGAGAG